ACCTAACTTATCCACTTTCCACGTCCCAAGTCCTAGACGGCAAGAACTCAAGCTTGAACTAATGATGCGGAAGCCTCCAAGATCCTCGACAATCAAAAGATCTATTGTGTTCCCTTTACTTACAAAGGCAGTTAAGCGGACCAGTGCGTTTAAGGCTTGAAACAAAGTGGGTGTTCACATTAACCCTCAGCTCTCCAAAAAATTCAATGTAGCCCATTCTAAGCATTTTAGTCAGATGTAATTTTATGACATACTCCATGGTTTCATTTTTCATCTTGGGGGAGGAGGAAGATTGGTGTTAAAAGGATGTCAGAACCTCAAAATTGGAATTAGTCTTACTACTGTAGACTGGAATATGTATGGACTAGTACAAACAGTCCAGAAAAATGAAGGGAGGCACACATGGAAAATCTTAGGACATAATAGCACACTTTGCAGTTGAAAAAGGCAGAAGATTGGTGGAATCCAAGAAGCTTCTGGGAAAGAGTCAGCTGTGTGAGCAATCTAGGAAAGCCCGGAGTTTGGTAAGGGATGCCTGAGCAGAGAGCAGGACCTGGTCTTCCTCCTTCTTTTTCCAGCTGGTCTTTCTCATTCCAACACCTTGCTCTGGCTTGAGGGCATATCCTGACAGCCCCTCCTGGCCCCTTAGGCAGGAGCAAGGTCCCCCAGTAAGAGACCCTCCCACTCTGTTGTGGCCCACATCCACTGTCTTGTTCCCAGTGGTTTATTTATTTTTTATTTTTTGAGTTGGAGTCTCACTGTTGCCCAGACTGGAGTGCAGTGGCACGCTCCTGGTCACCACAGCCTCGACCTGCTGGGCTCCAGCGATCCTTCCGCCTCAGCCTTCCAACTAGCTGGAATTACAGGTGTGTGCTACCACGTATTGTAGAGATAAGGTCTCGCCAAGTTGCCGGGGCGGGTCTCGAACCCACAGGCTCAGGCAATCCACTCACCTAGGCCTCCCAAAGTGCTGGGATTACAGGCTCAGACATCGAGCCTGGCCCCCAGTGGTTTATTTATCCTTCTCCCCAGAAGTTCTGAGCTCAGCCTAATTCCCTGTATTCTGAGTCTTGCCCAGTGCCTGGCACACAGGGCTATAAATAATAACACATGCTTGCTGACGAATTCCCATGTACTCTGAAATGTGGCACTTAGATTTGAAAGTGGACTCAGCTCTACATGATCCTGGGGGAAGGTACATCATCTTTCCCCCTCATTTTCCTCATTCATAGAGTAGTCTTCCAGATTAAATTAAGACAGGAATGTAAGTACAATGCCTACTCAAAGTGTCTGGGATGGTACTGGGCTCTCAAACCCTTCCTCTTGACGCTTGTTCCATGAGCTTGAGAAGGGCTGTCATTCCTCCCCTTCAACATAACCCCTCCTGATTTTTTGTGAGGTGGGACAGATCCAAAATGAGTAGTGCAGAGGGGTGTACTGATGCATCACTTCAATAATGGAGGCGGTGCCGGGTCACCCAGGCAACAACACAGGAGACACCTGCATGCCACTGCCAGTTCCAGGGGAAACAGAAAATAGAATTTCCCAGCAGAGTCCAGCTGAACCAACGTACAAAGGGCAGCAATTTAGGCCAGGCATAGTGGCTCACACCTGCAATTCTAGCACCTTGGGAGGCAGAAGCAAGAGGATTGCTTGAGCCCAAGACTTCGAGACCAACCTGGGCAACAAAGCAATACCTCGTCTCTACAAAAAAAAAAAAAATTAAAAAATTAGCTCAGTGTGGTGACATGTGCCTGTTTTCCCAGCTACTCAGGAGGATGAGGTGGAAGGATCGCCTGAGATCAGGAGGTCAAGGCTACAGTGAGCCGTGATCATGCCACTGCACTCTAGCCTGAGCCACAGAGTAAGACGCTGACACAAAAGAAAAAAAAGCAACAATTCAACATCTTCATGTGCCCAAGAGGATGACAAAGGTATACCAGGGTGTTAGTTCCTGGGGCAAACTGCCTGGTTTTCTCTGCAGGTTATGCCTCCTGTTTGTAGTGACCAGCTTAACTTCTCTGGACTTTAGTTTATTTACCTGATTACATCAGGTCACCGTAAATAGCACCTGAAATAATGCTGGTAGCTAAAGCACTTAGCAAGTTGCCTTGCTCTGTGAGTGCTCAAGAAATGCTAAGGTCAGGAGATCTGCTCACTCTCTGTAGACATCTTGCCTAATATTCCTGCTTTATCGGAGTCTTGTCAAACCCTCATTTTGTAGGCAAGGAAAGAGAGACAAAGTTAAATGGTTTGATGCAAAATCAGCCTGTGCCCTCTCTCATAAGATGAGGATAATACCACCCACAATGTCCAACACAGAGTAGGTGTGCCGCAAATGCTAACTTCCCTTGTGGGAGTCTCTGCAATTTAGGAAGAGGCGGAGAGAATAGGGCACTAAAAATCTTGTTTGAGAGCAAAGGTGCAAGATGGTAGGAAAGAGGGAGACCACGTAGTCCCAAGCTGCCAGGGCACTGAACACTTGAAAGTTAGCCTCCACCTCAGTTCAACCAGAGGGGAGGGGAGGAAGCACCTGACAACTACAGAGTATCTCCAAAGAAAGCTGTGTAACTCCCTTTCTCACACACTGGAAAGTGCACACACAATTTCCAGGGTAAGAAAAACCCCAACCCAGATGGCAACCCCTCCCTCCCAACAACCCTAGCCTGTCCCTGGCTCCCACCCCAGGAATTCCTGGTGAGGGGTTCCTTTGTGATTACAAGGTGATTCAGAACCCACTAAAACTCAGAGCCTCAGGTGGAAAATACCCAAGAGGCCAGATGGGAAAGAAGATTCTTGAGTTTTCATTTTTCCTTAAATCAATTTCCTGAGGCCCGAGGCAGTGCCCCAAGTCACAGATCAGAAAGCAGAGCAAGGCAGATTTTCACAGATTAAAACTGATGCCAGCAAATGCTTCCACTGGTCCATTTTCATTTCTTGGGTTTTTCCTATGCAGGGAGGGGACTTACTCAGTTGGGATTGGTTTAAGTGTTTTTTAGGGCTAAGGTTGGGGACAGGGCTGTCCCTGTTCAAGAACTCATCTATAATAATCTCCAAAGCAGACTGGCTTGATGCCCAAATCCTTTTTCAAAAATTACCTGCCCACTTTTGAGGAGTGACTGTTGACAGATTTAGCAGGACCTCAAAATAAGAGGTATTTTGTTTGTTCAAATACCTTAAGGAAGCTGTCTATCCTCCAAAGCCACCACCAGCTGCACCCGGCTGCCTAACTCCTAGACACCCCCCCTTCCCCTCTCCTTGTGTTTTGAAGTTTATTTTCCCACATTTGGCCTTGAATTCTTTCCTTCCTTCTCCTGCAGCAACAGCTTAGACGGAAACACTTCGAGGGCAGCTCAAGGCTTTATCATCCCGCCTGCCCTCTTTCCCCTCTAAACAAAGCCCTGGAACACACTAAACAAAAACTTGTTCTCCAGGGGAATTGTTTCCTCAAGGGAAATCATAAAGCGATCCCCTCCCTCCAACACACACACCAGGGTAGACATCCACCAGAAGGAACCCATGTCATCACAGAACTCCCGCTATTAGGAGCTAAACCAACCACTTTCCAAGGCGCAAGGTCATCCTCCCAGCATCCCATGAAACTGCCGCAGGGCAAGACACTCTCCACCAAAATCCAGCCCTGGGTCTGCTGGACTAAACCTCTCCTTCCACAGGCCTCCTCAAAGGACGAGTCTCTACACGCCCTGCTGCCAGCAAGCATCCATATGGTCATCTGTATGAATATCCCTGGATCTGGGGACAAAAAGTGGGAACTACTGGCAAGATGTCTTCATGTTTTCCAAATGCTTCCAACCTTATAACAGTTCAGAACAAGAAAGGGGAGGATGAAGATTGCTTTATTCCAATTTCTCATATGAGGAAACTGAGGCTGGAAAATGAAACAACCAGATAGGCATAAAGTATTGGGAAACTGCTTTAGATCAAATGCTGTTCCTTGTCAGACCTTCTTTGTAGCATCTTCCACCCCCAAAACAATGTAAAACTTTGGACAATCTACCCCAGCCCCCACTATCACCCCCAGCAATCCAAACCCTTTACAGAAGGTCCTGGTCATTCCACTGGAGAGTGCAGGCCAAGAAGAGTGGATGGTTGAGGATCAGCCCTCCAGAAACGGTTAGAGGGCCTCAGTCCCTTTGGCCCAGGATCTCAGCCAGGATGGGCAGCCTCAGTTTATCTTAGTGAGGTCAACGCTGTCCATAGGGCAGTGCACAAGCGGCGCCCGATGCCACCCACCCCAGTTCCCCACACGTTCAATTTCCCCTTCGAAAAGGGACTACCCGGGTTGCATTCGTTTGTGCAACCTGCTTCTTTCAGTTTAACTCCAAGGGATGTCTCCGCGAGATAAGCCTTCCCGGAAGCCTAAGCGCGTCTCCAGCGTTCTAGGCATCAGCCCTCATCCCGTATGTTCAGGCCCCACGGACCCCCCAGCTCCTCTTCGGAGCCCTGCGGGGGTGGGGGAGGGGAAAGCGATGCCTGCCCAGGCTTGGGCTCGGGGACCCTCCTGGGCTCACGTTTCTTAAGAAAAGCCGGGCGGGTGCGGCACTGGCCCCGGAGCAGGGAGGTGGAGACGCGAGGGGTTGCACCCGGCTCGGCTCCCAGACTCCGGGAGCGTCTCCAAGGAAAGATAAATGCCTTTATCCGCCCCACAGCCTCCCTCCAAGGAGGGAGGTACCCGCACACCCACACCGAGCCACCGCGGGGCCCAGTTCACCCGGAGTCAACCTAAGTTCTCTTCGAGCAAACTAGGTCCCAACGAGGCTCCGCGCATGGGGAACCTCCGTGTCCCCCGAGTGAATGACCGGTCGGAGCCTTGGCGCCTATGATGGGATATCCTTTTCCGTCGCCCCCCCTCCGGCCTTCCACAGAGACTGAGGGTCGTCAAAGGCTGCAGGGTGGGGGGGACCTTCCCTTCAGAACCCCTAAACCCTTGAAGCTCCAGTCAGCTTCGGGTGTATATGGGGGCTCAGGCGGCGGCTCACCTGCAAGATCTTGTCCAGGCCCTCCTGGCCCAGGCACGGGAACTCCTTGAGCAGATGCAGCTTCTGTGTGTAGTAGTTCTTCTTGGCCTCCTTCCAGTGCGGCTCCTCTAGGACTTCGAAGATCGCAGCGCCGATAGCCAGGTAGAAGATGATGGCCGAGGTGAGCAGAGGGCCCCGGTCCACCATGGCTCCCGAGCGGCCGCCTCCTGGAGAAAGCCCCCCCTAACCCCAGCGGCTCCGGGTCCGCCCGCCCTCCAGCCTCTGGAAACAGCTGTTTGAATTTGGAGCTCCGCATGCGCAGTGCCCGGTTCTCGTCCAAGCGCCGCTCCCGGGACAAAGTTGCTCAACCAAGTTGGCTCACTGAGCGCGGGGAGCTGCGTGGGGTCCCACTCACGTGGGCCGGGGTGGGCGAACACCAAGGGAGCCGAGGGGGAGCCCGGGGTCGTGGGGATGTAAGGAGCGGGAGGAAGACAGGACTTAAGTCGGGGGAGACACGTGGGCAGCACCACCGCGCGCCAGGAGCGGTGTTCGCCGCGCCCGCCTCCGCGCGCCTCTTTAACCAGAGTCGGGCGCGCTCTGCCCGCCCGCCCAAGACACTGGTGGGGGCGGGGGCCCAGGCAGACCACGCCCACTGATCGCCCCGCCCCCAAGCAGGCCCCGCCCCACACAGGCCCCGCGGCTGGCACCAGGGTAACCGCGAGGTGCGCGCTGGAAGGAGCTCCGCGCTCTCTGCGCTTATGAGCGCCGCCGCTAGGGGAGGCTGCCCGACCCGCCCAGACCTCCGTGCCCCGCAGTGCCCGAGAGGTTGGGGCTCTGGGTCTCTCGTTTGTTAATAGTGCTGGTGTATTTTTTTTCGAGTCAAACTCTCGCCCTGTCGCCCAGGCTGGCGTGCAGTGGCACATTCACGACCACTGCAGCCTCGACTTGCTGGGATCAAGCGATCCTTCTGCCTCAGCCTTCCAAGTACCTGGAACCACAGGCGCGCACCACCACGCCCGTCTAACTTTTTGATTTAATGTAGATGAGGTCTCGCCAAGTTGCCCAGGCTGGTCTCGAACCCATAGGCTCAGGCAATCCTCTTGTCTGTCCCTCAAAGTGCTGGGATTACAGGCGTGAGCCACCGCGCCCGTTTTAGTGCTGGTGTATTAATTAAAATGATTGTGTTCCTTAGGACTGAGGTCAGGAATTTGCTGCTATTGTTTTTTTTGTTGTTTTTTTGTTTTTTTTGAGTTGGGGGTCTCACTCTGTCACCCAGACTGG